AAATAGCAAAACGATGCAGCGGGATCGCTGTGACTTGGGGATCTCATCTCTTGTGCCATCGCCTGCTTCTCCCCCAGCCCAGGAATGTGGGCAGGTGTTTTCTCATTGGGGTTCTGAGAGACACAGTCACATACACAAGCACCAGCCCCCCACAGGGAATTAGTCATATGTACCACAACGTTCCACACAGGGAAACATCCGCCACACTCAGAGACAGACAACACATGTAGAAAGACAGACACACAAGACAGACATACACATCAACACGCAAGATACACATGTGCTGACATTCACATGAGAAAACACAGACCACACACGAGGCTGAAAGATACATGAGTTGACAGACACATGTCCACCAATAGAAGACACACATGAAACACCAGATGACACACACTGGCACGGTGATACAGACACAAGCGGGCCCTTCAACTGTCGGTTCCACCCCTGCCTGCAGAATGTCACCTTCCTGCATCCTTCCAGGCAGCAGTCCCCCTTCCCTTCTTTCAAGATCTCTCTAATCCCACCAAAAGGTGTCCCCAGCCTGAAGCCACAGGCCTTGGGCAGAGCTTATCACCAAGACACTGGGTGCCAGTGCTCACAGGGAGGGAAGGCTGGAAGTCAAGGGTGGGTGGGATGCAGCAGGTCAAGGGTGATCCCTGCCTTCGGATTGAGTGAGACCTGCCTGGCCATATGCCCCAGGAAGGCGAGTCCCTGCAAGATCTCCTTTAGCTCTCCTGGATGGGCCTGTACAGAAGGCCTGGGCCCAGATTCCTCAGCCCTTAGGCCCCTGACTCGTTTGGTCCCAATGTTCCTGGGCTCAGAACACCCTTCCCCCATGTCTCCCATAGCTGCTGCCTTCTCACCACTTGGGGGTGGGGAAGCTTGGCTTTCAAAGAAGCTCCCCTTGACCACCCCGTCTAAAACAGACACCCCGCTCCCATTCATGGCAGGCTCTAGTTTGGCTTCTTGCTGGTCTCCCTCTTAGACCCACCAGAATTTTTAGTTCTCTACTGCTCCAGGGTCATTTCAGTCACATTCCTCTCCTCCACTGGACCATGACTTCAGAGTGCCAAGGTCACTACATCTGTGTCCCTGACCATGACAGGCTATCCCAGTGCCCAGCATGGAGAACCTCTTTGGGGACACACGCTGAACATATGAAGGTCTCAGACTGTGTCTGCAAACTCATGGTGGCTTTTATCCATTTATTCAACATTTATTTAGCAACTACTGTGTGCCAGGCACCAGTGAGGATGCTATGTAGTAAATAGAAAAAAAGATCCCTGTTCTAGTGCAGTCAATGTTCTAGAGTGATAGTAAAAAAATTTCACTTATATGGCTAATAGAATGTCAAGTAGTCACTGGTGCTACAGACAAAATATAGAAAGAGGTGAGGAGTTGGGAGACGACCTTAGCCATGGTTCTCACGAAGGCCTCTCTGAGGAGTTTACATTTGCATAGAGACCTGAGGATAAGGAACTAGCTATGGGACTTTTGGGGGTGAGGACACTTCAGGTAGATAGAATGGCAAGAGCAAAGGCCCTGTGGCAGGCAGGACTTTGTGGGGTTCAAGGAACCCAGAGGAAGCAGATGGGAGTGGAGAGATGATTGATGGGGGTGAGACTGCAGGGGCTGTACCACACTTGCAACACGTTGCTTTCTGTACTTGGCACCCAGCACTGGCTTGACCTTACTTGCTGTTTCCTGCTCTCGCCTTTGCTCGTGAAATGTTGCCATGGGCAGCTGATAGAGCTGGAGCTGTTCATACCTGCTTCCTTCTCTACAGCTCTGTTCCTGCTTTTGAGGGAGCAGATGCGGGGGGCGGGGAGGCAGCTGTTCTCTCCTTATGCTGTGAGGAGTGAGGGGGATAGTGGTGTGCAGTGAGGGTTTCGGGTGATACCCTGTGTCTCTGTTCTGAATCATGATAGGCCAATTCCAAAGGCAGTTTGGAGGTAAACAGAGGCACAGTGGATGGGCACAAGATGGAGGAAGCATTAAGAATGAGGCAGGGACATCCTGGGTGCTGACACCAACAGCTGCAGCCACTGCCTTTATTTACCATTTGGTGGAGGCTTCAGGGCTGGAGTCTGAAGCGCAGACTAGGAGGGGAACTCCACCTGTCCTGGGAAGGTGGCCTCAGCTCTGCCTGGAACCAAGCCTGGGGAAGCACCTAGCTCCCACCCCCAAGTTAGCCAGATTAGACAGCAGCGCTGGGTGGAAGAGAGGGAGAAAGAAAAGCAGTTCCCACGCATGCCCAAGGGTCCAGTGAGAGGAAATGTGGAATGGGGAGAAGCTCCCTGCAGACTATGCCTATACATAGTAGACTCACGAAAACAAAAACAGCCTTTTGAATAAATAACCTTCGTGAGATTCAAACCCTGGGTTGCTTCCACATTGCAGAGACCAACACAAACGGAACCGGAGTCCTTTATAAAAACTTTATTGGGGGAGGGTAGAAAATGGGGGTGACGCCCTGGAACTGAATACATAAATAAGTGAATAAACAGTAAGCCCCCGTGTGCGTCTGGGGGGCGTCCCCCGGCCCGCGGGGAGAGGGGAGCGGGCTCATGCTGACGTCAGCTGTATGGCGAAGACCTCGCCCCCCGCTGGTGCCTCCATGGTTCCCACAGATTCTGTTCCACCTTCGGCGCCCGCGCCCCCGCCTGAGCCGCCGCCGCCCGTGCCGTTGAGACACACGGCCTCGCCGGAGCTCTCGGCCTCCTGCACGTTATACTCGCCCTTCTTGCAGGCGGTGGACTGTACGTAGAAGGCCAGGCCGGCCCCTGCGGCTAGCAGCGCCGCACCCCCCGCCGCACCGCCCACGGCGACCCACAGCCACGGACCTGCGGGGTGGAGCCCCTCAAAGAGGGTGGACGAGCTCGGGGTTTCCCCCACCCCAGCGAGATGCCAAGCCCAAGCCACACCCAGCGCTGGTGGGACCCAAAACCCATTTTAAATGCCACCCCAGCGCATGGGGATATAAGCCCCTGGCCACAGAGATACCCACAAGTCAACTCTCCTCATCTCCAAAAGAATGAGGGGAAACCGAGTCATTCCTCTATCCTAGAAAGAACCGAACCCTAGAGTGACATGAAGTAGGGGGAAGGGATCTAGTTAGAGCCTCCCACTCCCATCCTCTGCCCTTGCTCCCTCACCAAGCCCCATCTCTACAGTGACACAGTGGAGGATGTATAGGACCAAGTCTCTACTAGGCAGAAGCTCCCCTCAACACACACTTAATAAGTTTCTCCCCACAGCAGTCACAGCCCTAGAGGGTCCCTCTCCTTGAAGTTCATGCAGCAACCTCTCTCTCCACCTCCCACTTCCATCTCGCCATCAAAGCACCCCCCACCACCACCACCACACACTCGTCAGGATGTCCCAGACTTCTACCCTGGACTCCTTCAGTCTCTTCTGTGAGGACTGAGAGGGAGGCAGGGATGAGGTCAGGTGTCCCAAGGCGCAGACCCCGGGCCCCTGCAAACCCCTCACCCTTTCCCCCCAGCGGCCACTTACCAGCCACACGCACGATGATACGCCGCGAGTGGCGCCCATGCGCGTTGGTGGCTGCGCACTCGTACTCGCCGCCGTGGCTACCCAGGGCGCCTGCAACGCTCAGCGTGCTGTTGTTGCTAGACAGGCCGATGTTGAGCGCCCCAGGGGGCGCGCGCCAGCTGATCTGGGCCGGAGGCCAGGCCTCTGCGCGGCAGGTCAACGTGAAGTTCCCTCCTGGCCGCACGCCACCGGAAGGGGAGGCGGCCAGTTCGGCTACCACCGGCTGGTCTGCGGGATACAGGAGGTTGGAAGGGGACTCAGCGGTGGCCTGGATGTTGACCAAGCGCCCTGCTTCCATCCACCATAATCTGAGACCACCTCTGCTCAGATGCACAGGTGAGGATCCTGTCTCCCTTCAGAGCCCCCACCCCTTAAATTTGGGCTGTTGTCTGGACTAACATCCTGCACCCCTACTTCACCCAATAGGAGGAAGTAGGGACCCGTGCTATTGCCCTTCTGACCCAGACTTAAGGGGGTCCGGGTTCCTGTTCTATAGAGTTTTTATTACCTCAGGTTTAGGCCAGGATTCCTTGTTCCCAGAAATGGGACTCCCCGGGCAATCCCACCGCTGCATGTCCCTGATCTGAGCACCAAGTGCCCTCTATCTGGTCCTGTCCCCACTCACATTCCACACCCACAGTGACAGTCCGGGAATCTGTGCCATGCGCATTGGTGGCCAAGCAGCGGTAGTCGCCTGCATCCTGTCGGGACACACGCAACCGCTGAGGCTGGGGTGTGCCCTCCCTGGAACAGCGCACTTGTGGGGAGGGGTGACCTCGGGCAGTGCAGGCCAGCGCAGCAGCCTCGGCCCCTTCCAGCCACGTCTGGTGACTTGGGCAGGTGGACTCATCCATTTGCGGAGGCGCTGTAAAGCAGTCATGGGGGGGCATCAGGGGAGGGCTGATCCAGGGCACCCTCTACATCCCTCCCACCCCCATCCCTGCCTGGGCCCCGCTCACACTCCACGCTCACGGCCACTGTCTTGACCATGGAACCGTGCCGGTTGGTGGCGTTGCAGGTGTAGATACCAGGTGTCGGTTCACTGGGAATACTGGGGGCTCTGGGACTAGGGTCTGGGGGTGCCAGTGGCAGCAGTACCCCTTCACTGGTATTTCTAGAGCCGACACACTCCACTCTTGGCTGTGGCTTCCCATCAACCTCACAAGAAAATAACCGTCCAGATCCTTCCACCCATGTCCAATTGCTGGGGCAGCTTAGCTCCTCAAAACTGGGGCCATCTGTGGAGCAGAGGGTCATGCAGGGACTGGAAGTCAGGTCAGGGTTATCCTGACATAATCCATCTTGCCCCTTGCTGCCCCACTCACATTCCACTGTGATGGCCACATTTTTGGCCACAGAGCCTCGAGCATTGGTGGCTTCACAGCGGTAGGTGCCTGCGTGCTCCCGGGCCACGCGGAGCAGGCCCTCAATGACCTTTGCCTCCCCAGAGCGCACGCAGCTCACGTTGGGTGGTGGGACCCCATGTGCCACGCAGCTCAGTGAGGCCTCGGTTCCTTCCAGCCATGTAATGCGTTCTGGGCAGCCCACGCTGTCCAGTGCTGGTGCATCTGGAAGAGAGAATGTTATTAGGTTCAGGGTTTGGGGATCAGACTAATGTCCCTAGACTCTCTTTCTTGCCCCAAGGTAGCCACGAAGTTGGGCCAGCTATGCCCTGCACAGAGACCCTGAACCAAAGAGGTTTCATGCACCAAATTGTGCACTGTTTTAGGGCCTCATGAGCCCCAAGAGGCACATTTTTCTGATTCCTACAAAGCGCCCACAGGACCCTTCCCCCAGTCTTTGACCTAAAATTTGTTAGATGCCTTGGAGCACACACCTTTCCAAGACTCTCTCCAAGTACCAAACTCCACACCCCTACCTTTTCCCCTCCAACCTTTGTCCAATCTGGCTCACCAGCCTATTCCCTTTCCTGAAATCCCGCCCAAAGGCACTTCTCAGACCCTGCTGCTACTCTTCCCTGTAGGCTTTCCACCCCGAGACCTTTAGAATCAGACAGTGATGCACCCTGCGCACCCTCACTCACACTCCACTGTCAGTGTCACATCCTTGACTGCCTCGCCCTGGATGTTGGTCGCAGTGCAGCGGTAAGTGCCGGCCAGTGCGCGAGTGATCGGACCCAGCAGGCCCAGCGCCAACACGGCCCCGCCGTCAGGCCGGGCGCAGTGCACGGAGGGCTCTGGGTTTCCGCGGGCCTCACAACGCAGTATCTGCTCTGGACCCTCGGGCCATGTCCAGCTCCTGGGACAATCCGAATCTTCCAGCCGGGGGGCATCTGCGGGCAGGGGTGTGGGAAACAGAGAGGCTACACGTGGACTGTGGGAAAGACTCCAGTTGGGACCAAGCAGATCCTTGGAGAGCACGAGGAGGAAGGCAAGAGGTAAAAACTCACATAAGACACGCAGTTCGGCGCTCTCGTTCTTATTCAGGGTCTCTCCGTCCACCTCGAGGGTGGCGTCGCAGAAGAAGCTGCGTCTGTCGTCGTGCTCGGTGGCATTTAGCTGGAGCTGAGAGGGCTGCCCCGGGACCGCAGCTGGAACTCCATCCAGTGTGACCAGGGCTCCGGCCCCGGCAGTGCAGGTTACTGTCACCATCTTCCCCTCGGGGGCGCTGGGCTCACTTAAGGTCAGGAGGGGCGCGGGGAAGCCTGGGGACGGGGCATTTGCCGGGAGTCGACTGACCACGCCTCTCCCGCAGCCAAGACTGCCCCAGGTCTGCCGGAATTCTCCCAGCGCTGCGGTCAAAATGCGGGTACGGTGCCCTGCCTCGCGGGCAGCTCAGGCTCCGCCCCTTCTCACCCCATCCCTTTGAGCACGTCAGGCCACATTCCCTTCCTGCGGCTCAGACTCCGCCTCTCCCGCCATTCAGCTTCAATCCTCCATCTGCCCCGCCCCTTCAGGACGTCGAAGCCACGCCCACCCCATAATTAGCCCCGCCCACTTGTTGCCCCCGCCTTCGAGTCCCTCTGGCTCCACCCCCGAGCCGCAGAGGTCTCGCTTCACTCTGCCTTACTGTAGACAGTCACGTTCTCCCGGGTCTCGCGGCTCTCGGCCCCCAGGGTCACAATGCAGACCAGCTGCCTGGAGCCCTCCTGCTCTGAGCTAGGTGTGGCTGTGGCAGTGGCCATGAGCTCGTCCCCCTCGAGGGTGATATCAGGACTCAGCCTCTGGTCCCCCAGCGCCAGGTAGACACCGGCCTCCGAGGCTGGAAAAAGCCCGTCCAAGGTGCAGCTCACGAGTCTTTCCGAGCCCACTTCCAAGAGCCGGGGGGCAGCGAGGCGCGGTGGGTCCGGAGACAGTGCTGAGAGTCCAAGAAGAGAGCTTGAACTTATGTATTGAACACTCAATATGCACTAAGCGCTTTACATGCACTATCATCCTACCATCCTCAAGGCACAGAGAGGAAAATAGCTTTCAGCTGGTGAGCGGTAGAGTAAGAATTAGAATTTAGATTTCTCTACCTCGAAACTTCTTAAGCATCAGCCCGACCCCGCTGGGTCCCTTTCTCTTCCCCACTCCCACTTACCGAAAGTTCGGAGCTCTCTGGAGGCCGAGCTATTTTCAAACAGACCCAGGCCCTGGGGCCGCAGGTCCAGCTCCGCGCGGCATGAGAAATTAGCCCCATGGTCCTCCCTCCGCGCCAGTACAGTGGCCGTGAGCACCGCGCCCCGTGCTCGGGGTGGCTCCCCGGCGAAGCTGTGGCGGATCAGCTCCTGGGAGCCGCGCAGGAGGGTCAATGTGAGACTCCCACGAGGCCCAGCGCCGGGGACCCTACAGCTCAGGGTGAAGTTCTCTCCTACAGGCTGCCAGGCAGGCAGCGGAACTAGCTCCACACGATCTGGCCGCTCTGCAAGGGGAAAAACACAGCTCTCGGAAATGCCAGGGGTCAGCGACACATAGCGTGGAACCCAGGGAGCCAAGACTGGACGGCATGGGGACCCAGGGGGTGGGGCCTGAAGGGGATGACCCGGTAACCCAGGGGGCGGGGCCTGGAAGGGAGGTAAAATAGTGGAGTAAGAGTGTGGCTGCTGAGAACTCACGAAAAGTGCGAATGAGCCCACGCGCCTGCAGTGTGCGCCGCGCGCAGCGGAAGAAGCAGACCGGCTGGGTCTCCGGCTCGCGAATGTCTATCAGCTGCCGCGCCAGCCAGCGCAAACCTCTCTGGGTCCCATTCCGGCGCAGCGAGGTCTCCAGGCCACCGCGCTCAGGCCGTGGGCAGTTGGTGCTGCAATTCAGCCACAGCGATCCCCCACGTTCCACGAGGGCCACGCGGGGCTGTAGGTCCGCCCAGAAGGGCTCCTGCGCGACCGCTGCCCGGAGAAACGCGGGCTCAGCCTGGGAAGCCACCCCTATACAAGTCAGGAACTCCCGGGGAAGGAGCAGAGGCCGCAGTGAGGAAAGAACTCAGTAGTGTCGCGTCCTGCCCAGGCCTAATATTTGGAGGCGCGCTCCCAGGGTGCAAACCTCGAGGGTGTCTGAGACATGGCAGCGGAGAGCCCTGGTCTCCAAGGTGGCTATGGATGATGGAAAAGCATGGCGGAATAGGGAAAATGAGAAGAAAGATGGGGTTTTCCATGCACACAACAACGCTGGGAGGAGGGGACCCCAGGTGTGGAAAGGGAAGCGAACTGGTGGTTTTTAGAATTCTCACTAAGAGAGGGGAAGACTGAGGTTGAGGCGAGGGCAAAAGAGAGATGAGGCTGAATCAAGGATAAGGGAGGACTCCAAACCCGGGTGAAGAACAGAAAGAGGACGCGGGGCTGGGCTCATGGAAGGGACGGCGGGAACATCGAGGGACTTGGTTGCCAGGGCTCCGGGTGGAGCCGGAACAGCGCCTGAATCACGGCAGTTGGAGTGATCGGGTCTTCGCGCGAATGGGGAAGATACCAGTCCGTGGACCGTGGTGCATAGCAGAGCGTGAGGAGGTACCCCGGGAGGGGACACAGGGACATGGGTATCTCCGGGGAGCGAGGTTGGGTGCGGAAGAGCACCTAGCATCTCGAAGGGGGTAGGGTAGAGACCTGGGCAAGCAAGGAGTCGGGAAGCTAGGTCTTCAGTGTGTGTTGGGGGAAGAGAAATAAAGAAGAAAACCCAGGGCTCAAGGTGGGGGCGGAAGCGTGGGAGCCAGGCGAGGGCGGAGCTCAGAGGGCAAGTGGCTCCTTCTCAGGTCCGGGAACTCCGTCTCCACCCCACCCCCTGTCCACCCGGAGCCGGTACCGGCTCTTACCTGAGAGGTGGAAGACCCCCAGGCCCAGGGAAGCCCAGAGGCCGAGCAGCGCCCGGCGCAGCCCTGGCGAGGGCCCTGGCATCGCCGCCGCGGGGAAAGCTCAGGAAGCAAGGGGAGCGCGAGTGCCGAGCTGGGCTCGAGGACCGCGCGGCGCGGCGCGGCGGGTGGGGTGTGGAGGAGGCAGAGTTGCGCTCTGGGATTGGTTTAACGTTGGTAACTTGGTTTCCAAGGAGGGGGCGGTGGCAGAGGCGATGGGGAGGCGGGAGGGAGAGCGTGCGCCAGGCTCCCGGCCTGGGTGAAGGCGTGCGGCAGGAGCCAGCGACCCCCAGGGTCTACGTGGAGGCCTGTTCAATTGTCCGGAGCCTTCTGAGGGTGGCTGCGCGTTCCCGCGTCATCCCCGGCGGCGACGCGGAGGTCAGGGGGTTGCTGGATTGCCCTTCTCAAACCTCCACCCCACCCCTAGCTTCGATGCTGTGATAATGGAACTCCGAGCTCCGCCCTCATATTTAGCCCTTCCCACCAGAGCCTCTTGGGGCGGAGATTGATTTGGGGCTAGGAGAGATTTGGGAAGCGCAAGATGGGGTAGATCCAGTGACTGGCGTGGGATGCCTCCCTCATTGATTCTTTCCCTTTTGACCCCGGGGAGCTGAGGGTTACAGCCACGCCCCCAGTCCCTCTCTGGCTCCGCCCCCGCACGCGACAGAGGGGGCGGGAACCAAAATGCCAGCGAGTCGGGAACACGTGTGCGTGAGCTCAGCGTTCGCAGGCGTCTAAATTAGGGTCGGCTCAGCTCCCAGTCTGTATTTACCCAGTGTGCAGCAGGCACGTGTCTACTCGGCGTGTGCGAGCAAGAGCCGCG